TAAGGAAGACGAGAAAATCAAGTTAGCTTCAAAGGTTATCATGATTAGTGTGAAGAGGGTTATCAGTCTGAAATTGAATTTCTGCAGCTGACAAATTCAGATGACTGATAATGAAAAACGATAAGATTTTTTTGATAGAATTTCACACTCGTGATGCTCTCTATAAAAGTGTGAATGGTTGGTTACTAAACCTCTGCCAAAAATCCACAAGGAGATTACCTCTTCATTGGAAAGATGGAAAACAGAAAATACCTCATTCCTCAAGTACACTCCTATTTGTTACAACAGTTACCTGCGCTATTCCCTTTATTGATTTAGGATTGCAGTAGAAAATACTGGAATTTCCTATTAGTGATTTAACTGGTTCATTATGAGCTTCAAAGCTTTAAGATCTAGCTTTACTATTTCTGGATTAACCCATCCACACTGCTCCACCTTTTTTCTTGAGTAATCTGAGACCTGAGAGGACTTTAGATTTATTCATGACCTTCAAAGTTTCAGTGAGCTCATTTACGGGCGAAGGTTGTATCATCTGCAAATTGACTTATATTTGCTTCTGCTGTATTCCCTTTATTGCACCCTCACAACCCGTAGCTTCTTATATTATTTGATCCGGTCTACACCAAACACGAATAGTAGAGGGCTTAGAGAACAACCTCGTTGAATTCCCTTTAAAAAAATTGAAGTTTTTGCGTGTTGCTCGAATGCGTCGTGGGAAAAAACAAATGGACGCTATATCTGACGTCCACCTGAACAAACCTCACCACAACAAGATTGATTTTGGTCATTCGTAGATCTTCCCCAGATCGAAAAAAGTATCCTAAGAGGACTGGGAATGATCGGCTTACGAATAAAGCATGTGAGGGTGATTGATTGTCTCTTACCATATAGAAAAGCTATCGTTTTCGTTAAGATTGTGATCCTTAGGGGAGACATTCTCGTATAAAAGTTTGTTTAGCATTCCCGCTCCATTCTTATTCTAATCCTTATCACTTTTGCCTTCTTTCCACGTCTCTCTTCCAAGCTCGCTTCGTGTGAATCGAATCAGTCCAAATATTTTGATCAAGAAACAGTACGATTTTAATTGATATCAAGCACTCTGGATACTTATTTTAACACACTGCAGTACCCTAATAGCAGCACTTTTTAAGAATAAACAACAATGAAATTTTCCCTTCCTGCCATGAGTCGTGCGAACGAGTTCAACTTGAATGATACCAAATATTGATTACCATCAAGCGCAAATACAAAAGGCCAAGGGTCTGTACACCAGGTCATTTTACGCCATTATGTGGCTACAAGAATTCGTCAGAAGTCTCTGTGCCTGAAGGCTGCGGAGTGGATTGGAATCACCTGAAATAAAGTGCATTACCTCAGTAAGAGAAAGACACCCCATGAGTACAGCCAAACCATCACGCATTGTACTCCACACTTTCAACGCTTCCGTGCTCAAATCTCGTGTTCTTGATCCTACCTTCTGTCAACACATCTAAAATCTTAGTTATTTTTGTCTTAATGATAATATTTTTTTATTTTTTCTCAGTTGTTAACGTCAATTCAAAGCCAACAAATAGACAAATATATTTATTTTTCGTACAAACCACAATCCTTTTCGAATCAAAATTTCACTCGAGGGAGGTATGAAAAGAAAGCCTGATGATTCCTCAAGAAATTTGCCAGAAAAATTTTTATACGGATGCTCCCACGAGATTAACTTAGCAATCGAAGGATCAGAGTGCTCTAAACATGACCTTAATATAGCAGTTCAGCCGCTCCCACGATCTGCTTTAATAGCGTTCTTGTTTGCCAAGTTTAGCGTTGAATTTCATTGAGTGCTGAGTGGTCAGAACAAGTCAAGCTAATGTGATTGATCATTGTTTATCCAAAAATGTTTTTTGAGGTAAAAATAGATTTATCAGTTCCGCTCTGTTATCCTTTCCTAGCCTTACTTGTCGGAGACATGTTTTTCTTCCCGCGCAAGAAGTCACGCGACCAGTGTTTGTTTTCAGTTGCCTCGCCAAGTTATAAACTGCAGCTTCTAGTCGAAGCTTTGAGCGGATTTAAGTTTTTCTTTGTGATTTTTCGTAAATAAGTGAGTAAGGAACTTTGAAGAGAACAGAATCGGATATTTACACGGCGGAATGTATAATCCGTGATCTATAGAATGATTTAAAACAGGGCGCCACACTTAGAGTGGTTGGTTTGATGGTTATCGTAATGCCTAGTAGTGATACCAAAACAATAAAAATGATTGATTGCCTCAATTGCCCTGTAAATGTGAAGGACCAGAATGAATTCATACAAATAATCGAAAATAAGCTGATTATAAAGTAGAAATGTTATAAACTTCCCATTATTCGACCACAACCCTGAGCATTAAGAAATATTTCAGCTGCCGGTAGAAATAGTAGAAATATTCACGTTTTCTATACTTAAAGAATATTACAGGTCTTAACGGGCCAATAAAGAATTCTATAAAGAGTTTTTTGAGTTAAGATGACAAAGGACTCCTACTAAAAACTGCACTGTTCGAAATTTGAATGATCTGTTCTTTAATTAGCCTAAGTCGTAATCAAGTACACGGGCCTTGTCTTTCAACTTAACGAACGAAGTTCACTAAAGAAATGTTCCTAATAACTTGGAAATAGTTTACACAGTAGGAAAATGCCGCGAACAAGAACAGACATTAACGGAATGCCAAGATCACTTAGCGATGGCTGATTCTTTGCCCTGGTATGTCAGGAGCTTGACTGACGTGCAGACTTAACATCTTTGAAAGGATTTTAACGGGTGATACGCAATAACCTGGCGGCTATACACAGCTGGTTCAGCTTAGTTGACCCTCAGCTGCTTTTATGAGAATTAGCGACGTTGAGGTTCACGAAAATCACGAAATATGAGAATTCACATCTGAGAAACGAACGGCTTCCGTGAGCAACACATGACAATAATGGAATAACTAGCTAATTGTACTAGAAGGGAATGTTCAAAAATACAAATACCATTTAGGTACCTGATTTCTGCCGAGGTAATTTTTTTTACACTGATTCTGCACAGCTTTGGAGAGGTGACCTTGTGCTGTTTGAAAGTAACCCCAATTGGATCAATTGTCCTCAATTGGATAACTATCAAAACGTCAGCAATACCAACGTGGGTTTGGTTTACATATTTTAAAATGTAAAAAAAAAAAAGAGAAAATCAGAACTTAAAAGAAAAAAGGAAAAAAAGAGAGAGGGAGAGAGACTAGGCTGCGGCTTATTGTGAACTTCTTTGACAAAAATTGTCACGGTTTGAGTTATGTTTGATAAAGGAAACTGGGATATAATGGGATATAAATTGATTTCCCATCAATTAACCGTCGTGTGAAAAGGGATGGTCCAGTAAATCGACCCTTTTTTTTTTTTTTCTTATTTCTTCTTTGCCAGATCACGGAGGCTCACTTTATAATGAACTACGCATCCGAAAGTGATCAACCTTTTTCAGGCTTGAGAAGTAAAAAAAAGGATAAGCGGGAATATAACAGAATGAGAGGTGGAAGGGGGTGTGTAAAAATTACCATTGACGTATTTAACACGGTCTGTCATGTAAGATGTGCGGCTTACACGAAAGCATAGGGATTGCAAAGTTAAATCTTATTCTTAAGCAAAACAATTATTTGGTCTTTCCCTTGTCATAACATGACGTTTTAATGAGAATCCATGTAGTTTTCACAGTAGGTATTCAAATGGGAGCTTTTTTTCTATCGTAGATTTATGCAAGAACCAACTTTGGGTAAAATCACTGTTCAAATGATGCGGGGTTTGGAACTCAGGATAGCATTTTTAAGTACCTCGGTCTGAAGCCGAGCACGACAACTCCATCGAGTGTACACAAAAAGTTTTTAAATACTTAAGAGTTCAAATATATTTATCTGGCCTCGTTCTGGTTAAAACTGATGTGGACGTGCAATATTGAATCAAATGGTAATCTCTTTAGACCTAAACAGATAACAAATATTTCCTGCGCATCCGGCTGAATAGGACTCGCATTTCTAACCTATCTTCGCCTACATCTTGCAGGATAGTCTTGAATCTTAGACGAGGCCTGAATGTCTCTGAGAAATGATATAGAGAATTTCAGCGATAAATAAATTAAAACTATCCAGTTTGTTTGGCTACCTTCATTTTAAATTGAGTTTAATCAAGATTACGGCTGTTGAGTTTACTTGGGATTCAGTTGCGAGCTTCATTGTTTCTTTTGATATGTCAACTGTTTTAATAAATTCAATAGTTATTCAGGTCATCAAAAGATCTTGGAAAGATTGGCCAAAATGCTCACACGCTTATTGACACTTAATGTGATATTTTGAGTAACTAGTTTTGCCTGGGCAAATACCAGCCTCGTCAAGGTATTTCAATTTTTTCCGTCAACAAAGCCCTTTAGGGTCTAAAAATAGCATCATGGACGAGAATGGTTTGACATATGGTTTGACACTCTTTGTTGAACTGATATAGCAGATGATTTAGACGGGAATCAAGTCCTAAACGAACTAAAGTTTGACGATGACGGGGGTTGAAAACTCGTCAAGAAACTCCAATAATGGGGTTTTGAGTTGACTATTTTTTCACCAAAGCCATTCCAGAAATTGTCAAAGAGTTAACTTAGTCCAACCCCCTAGTGATAAAATGGTTATTTTTGACAAAGAATAAAAAATGATTTCCAGGTACAAGCCATATCATTTCGACATCCATGCCTTAGAATTTAGGCAATGAATTGTAATCGAATTATCTTCCAAAGATCCCCTAATTGAGCGTAAATCTTGTGTTTTTTTATTTTATTTACAGTTAAGGTGGCTAAAAAGGAAATATGTGACTGAAGAGTATTTTCACCAAGGGATCATTTCTGCTTTTGATCTTTACCCTCGACCCTAAATATAGCAATTGTTTTGATTGGCGTTTTTCAATCGCGTTGATTCGCGACTGTGCGACCAAGGGAAACCTGACACATTAATGGGTATCGAGTAGCGGTAACAACTGATGCACATCATATACGAGAGCGACAAAGCCACCGAGTGTAGCTTGAGAAATGGCTGTGTTATGGCATTCCGTGGCAGTGTTTCTTTCGCTTCTAAGCATTATAGAAGGATGGCAATATTCGAAAAACCACCGCGGGCCATATGGATGTGTGATGAACACGCGGGGAGAAGTTGACTGTACAAGTAATAACTTTACTTCCATACCAGCTGAAATTCCTCGAAATGTTATTGCCTTGTAAGTTACAGCATGCTCCTTCGTCGATTGATTTGTTTCTGTGATAAAGTAAAATGTTATGTCGTTCTCTCGCCGTTATGGCGATATCTGGAATGTTTGTTTCAAAGGCTATCACATGTGTGTCTCTCTTGAGGGTGTCAAAGAAAGTTAAAAATAGCAAGATGTCTTCCCAAGATCACGTACTGAATTTGATTTACTATTCTAGGTCAACTGCATGCCGTACGACATGAAAACATAATGTCCAGCTGACCGATACATACACTTCCGTGAGATTTTAATATAATTTCATGGTTGTGCTGAATCATGCACGGACCGCGTTCGAGAGAGATTGAAAATTGCAGTTATCTCCCCATTTAGTGTTTATGAAAGAGGGACTTAGATGATTTTTCGAAACTACCAATCCGCCAAGAAAGTTTGACTGTTTGAATGAAATAGATACAGCTAAAATATTAGAAGGAGACGCTGGTAACGCAGAAGAAAGGATAACACGATTGTAATAAATTTATGGCTGGTTCATCTGGAGAGAATGACGGAGACCTCTGTGAGGCTTTGCAAACCGAACAAATTTTATTCGTAGCATTGTATGATTTTAATTCGGTTTATGTTTGATGTTTACACGAATACTGAGATATCTCCTGGAATGAAACGTTATCGCATCAGTACGTTACTATAATTTTTAACACGCTCTTGAGCCAAAATCATTATTGAATTTTTACTATGGTTTTAAAAGGTCCTGTCGAGCCTGGTTTTGACATCGCAAACCGTTAAAGCTTGTCAAAACCTTTTCGATCCAGAACATAAAAAATACATGAATCAAACAAATATAAATCGGTTCATAACAACAAGCCTCTGTGGTATTTTTCGTTTTAAAAAAAATCTTAATAAGCAAACCATTGTGCGATGTTCGAATGTCATCGTTTAATTCGGCCTTTGCTAAGTTGGATCTGAATTATTTGTTAGATTTTCTACCCTTTGACATTTACCTCTATGCCTGCCATATATGACACATCGTCGGCTCTGCTGAAAATTATGAAATAGCAAAGCTACTCAAGGATTTTTTGTTGTTTTGATCTTGGAAGGGGTAGAAATCTTTAGGAAAAGCAGTGGAATTCTCGTGGTATCCTGAATGCCGGCACTCAAGCTGTACAGAGCTTCCTGATAACAAGCGAGGCAATCCCATCTGTCTTCATGTCTATATATGTTCTTTGCTATTCGATAAATTTACTCTTCGGTCACTTTAGATTGTCACAGCGTCAAATACTTTGTTTATATTCCTAATCCCGAGTGCATATTCTCAATTTCAGAGATATGAGTGACAACATGATAAGCGAGCTTACAAACTTCACGTTTTCAAGGTTTCCCAATCTGACTAAACTGTAAGTACATCTGTTTTAATTCACTTTGTCTATTTAGCTTGATAGGGCACTCTTTGTTATCAAAGTAGAAAATTAAATTAAAATAACTGTCCGGCCTCTTTTAAACAGACATATACCGACTGCGCTTGCGTTTCGTGATGATGCGTTTATAAAAAAAAAAAAAGTGCGAGCTATTTAAACAATCAGCCTATTGTAATCTTTTACTTTACACTGAATTAGAGGGGGTAAGACTTGATGGCAGCTTTCTCCGATTTTGTAACGTTCTTTTGCAAAGCCGAGTTTTTCAGTATTTCCTTTTGTCAACATTAAAGATATAAATTTCACGACCTCTTGCTGGGTTCAGGGTGTGAAATGGGATAGCTGATGGATCAAATAAGCATGGAACGTACTAGAGTATTTCAGCTGCAAATATAAAATGACTAAATCTTGACGATTTCACCATGTGTAGTTATTTAAATGACTTTGTGTGCATCAGAAGTATTTTTGTTTTGTTAAGAATTTCCGAAACATCTCACCCTCTCCCCAAGTTAACAACCTGACAAAGAAACTTTGTTTTGCTTTTAATTTTAGAAGCCCCTTGTTGATTTTAGAGCTTAATTTCGTCTATGCCTCTGGCTTTTAAAATTGTTTTCAAATGCTCTACTTTATTTTGAAAAGGAGAAAGAAAACATCTATTCCTAGGATAAATACCCCAGTCTCCAACTTTGCGAATTTCATTGTTTTACCCACTTGACCATTTTTCCGTGTTTTTATTCTCTTACCTCTGATTCAACTAGCGAGGATTTTCGCATGAAACTGGTATGCACTTATTGATAATAATAATATCTGCAGTCCATTTTTTCTCTCTGTCGTGTCAAATCACATAATCAGAAGTATAATTTATTTTGATTACCCAAATTGGATCAGGTCTCTTCCATTAGGTTAGAAGTATTCCACAGTCACTACACTATCAATGGCACATACTTGCAGACGACGAAAGATGTAGGATATAATTTACTAATACACACCTATAGACCTTTCCGCGTGAAAAAGAAGTTATTGGAAAACAACTTGCGATCGCAATTGTATTCTTTTAACTCAAAGCGATTCAACAGAGTGCGATTGGTTGTCAATGCTTGTGAACAGTGATTTAAGGAATCTGTTCTGGTTACTTGTTTGTTTGGTTTTAGTTTTTTTTTTGCGGCAAAACGTCTGTAAACAAGTAAGGTTTACGTGTGTTTAAAAATAACCGTCCCAAAATGGGACTGTAGTTTTATAAATACGCTGTGAAGGGAACGTCACGTCTGCAGGAAATGGTTTCAACATAACATCACCGTAGAATTGAAGTATCAAACCCTGTCATAACCACAACTTTGATAACTGATATTTTTAAGTGACAACTGTTTTTCAAACAAAAGCGGGTTCGAATATTCGAAAAATGAATGTAGCAGTTTATTATTCTTCACTTTGTCTGCCAGAAAACCAATTAAATCAATTGCTGAAGTTTGATATGACTCATTAAAAAGTTTTTAAACTTTTACTTGAGGTTACAAGCCGGAAGCGCAGACAGCCTTTCGCCTCTCTGTTTTGACAGCAAAAAACGCCTTTTAGTCGGGGAACATAAAATTCATTAAAAAAAGATCACGAATTTCGTTAATTTTGTAAGAAAAAAAGTCGTACTTTTACTTCATAAGGAAAGAAACACGTCAAATTCTGCTCTTACCTTTTTCTCTTTCCATATCATATCCTAACATGAAAATATTTGCTGGTATTAACCGCGTTGGCGTGCAAGCTGGCGGTATACAACTTCAACTTTAAGTGTGAGATCAAGTGGAGGTTATTCAACACTAACGTTAGAAGGATCTTTACTCTTTAGACGCTATAACGACGCGATAAATTTTGATTCAAAACTTTCTTTTTGAGGACCAAGAAATTTCTACTATACTGATCATTTTGAGTATCAATTTTCGTGTTTTCTTATGAATTATAGATTTCTTTTTCCAGTGTTGATTTTCGCCTGATCCTCGTGGGATGTCAAATCTCTTATCGGCTCAGAAGCGATGGTATCTTATTTTTGCTAAACGCTTTAAACTTTAATCTGCTTCTCGGACTAATGGAGAACAGTTTACATAGAAGCAAGTTCTCGAAATAGCAGTTATACTGCACGCAATGTCGCTGGGCAGAAATTTTGACACTAGAAATTCCATTAAACTGAATTATATGTTTAATGCGACAATTTAAGAGCTTTTTCAAGGTAACCCCGTTTCAGAAGAGCTTTAAAATCTCGAAAATACTCGCTTTACTTGACAAATCTCCACAGACGAACTGACGGCTGTATAAGAGGAGGTTAAGAAGTCAGCTTTTTTCATGAGCATTTTTGTTTTCCTACCGAAGCAACAGACAAATTTAGGTCTGACGACCACTCAAGTTGTTGAAAAATGACAATTTATATTTCCATTTGCTTTTAAGGTCGGTAATCTGTGCGACTTTGTCAAAAGTTAGACAAAAGAAATGACAAAGGATGGGCCATGATCTGTTATAACAGTTTTGCATTGCCTAGTGGTGTAGTAATATATATTTAGTAAAGTTTTTTTTAGGTAAAATCACGAAGGAAATAAAAGGTATAAATTATGATGTAATTTGAAGACGGAAGGGTGAATATTAGTACAATTTGAGAAATTTTCCAGAGAAGCAATGCGGTGGGTTTTTTTTTTACGGAAACCTTCAAATGAATAAGTAGTTAGTTTGATTAAGTCCACAGAAATAAAATTGTAAAGAGAGGAAGTGCGCAATCTTTCCATTCAATTTCAGCTGTAAGCGGAAAACTTTTCAATTGACAAAAGTGAAACGTCTACAGCTGATAACAAAATACTAAGGATTCAAAATTATGGAACAGTTATCCGGCGCTTGCTGATGCCCCGATGTATTGTATTAGTCGATGCAACTTATAATGCATATGGCATGCTGGAGATGGCATATTGCATATTATCATTAGGCATCAAGATCTTCAAAAATTATTTCTGTCCTAATTAGGCAGATGACGGTCGCACAATGAAATAAAACCCATATCCAAAAAGTGAAAGGCAAAATTTGTGGGTTATAATTTCTAGCTGGTACTTTTAGAAGTTCAGTTATTTGTACTTAAGGTTCGCTTATTACGCAATCGTGCAGTGTTAATGGGAAAGTAAAAAGACAATGGAGGGCAGATCTATTTTCATAGCTACACAGGAAATTGGTATAAAGTCAGGGTATTAAATCATTGCCAAATAAGAAAGATTCGGATATAAAAATTTGGGTTACGGACAATGTTTGCGAAATTTGCTGTTCTAGAAAGTACCCTCCTCAGTCATCAGCATGTGTGCTTTGAAAGACGGCGAGGAATCTGCTCCTCATATGCTCATTTGATCCCGTACATTGTTCTTCTCCCCAGTTGTTCAAACCAAAAAGCCTTACATTCAAGTACATATAAACATGCATGTCAAACTCGTTATACACTAAGTTATCAGACAACAATAGGTTACGCTCATACAAAACTTTGTTTAATATATTCCAAGAATGTCATACCCTGAAAAATTCGTATATAGTCGTCGACAATTTTTTTCTGTTGTCATTGAAAGTAATTCGCCAAGGTTGGCCATCGTTGAAAATTGTTTGCCGTGATAGATTTCTTCACCAGCTGAGGAAATAAAAGTAACTCGAATATTATCAGAGATAATTTATATCAGAGAGAATAATTATGAGCGGAATTAAAAATGTTAAGACACCAACATTGCTTTAAGGCAGGTGTGTCCAGAATAACAGTTGTCATCTGAATGAAGAATTCCAATCTTTCGCGGATGTTCAAAGAGCTCACCTTTGTTCCTATTTCTGTTTTTCATTTGCGCAATGGAATTTTGGTGCAAAAATAATAAAAGCAATTGAAAAATTACTTCATTTCAGTACATGTCTTTATCTGTTTTCTTATTATATATTTCGATTCCATATTCATAACACTGAACTGCAAATACAACGGTCGTCCTAACTTTGAAGGTTTTCCAACAGGCTTTGTTCAGTCGAATTTGGTACGAAACGAATCCCATATGACGATACTTTGTAAACTTATTTGTAAATCATTTCATTCAGGATGATGATAACCATGATAATAACAGTGATGAGGATAATGAAATAAGTTTCTTAATATCTTATACTTTCTTTTTTTCTCGCGAAGCGTGAGACTATCTCTCCTGAACTAAAATTGAAAGTCTTTTTCGCGCACCATCTTTAAATACCGAAACATATCAGCAGCAAGGAGTCTTTCATTCTCTCAATGTTTTATTTTTGGATAATCAACGTAAAAATTAACTGACCACCTCTTTTCACTCTTTCCTTTCTTAAAACACTATTTTCAAATGGCTTTGAGACAAAGAATTGCGTATCTGAAAAACAAAACTTGTTTCATAAATCTGGTCTCGTAATTTTTTTCGAGCTGTTACAAGACTAGTCGCCCAAGAAACTACACAGCGTAGTCAGCGCGTATCGTGTCTATCGTGTCTTTCGTCAATGTAGAGGAAGCTGAGTTGGAATTTTGGCGACATACAGGGATTAGGTCTCCTTCTTACAAAGCTCACTGCAGCGAAAACGTCCAAACTGTAGCTGCAGCCTAAGAAAATCATGACAGTTAACGTATTTCGAAGAAAGATACCAAGAATAAAGGAAAGAAATTGATTGTACTCAAGTTTCACAGAGTGCCCACTGAAAAATCCCGCTGGGTACTGTATAAGAATGGTTTGCCTCCGGCTTTTGTCATAGAGTTTTAATAAATGCTCTGTTTATGCTCTTTAGGTATTTAGTTTCTTTGGTTAGTTGGTCATTTTCTTTCTTTACATCTTAGTAGACATTCAATCAGCCACAACCAACTTGATAGTGGTCTTCTCACAAGACACGATGCGTTTTATTATTCACTCGTTATATTCATTCTCTATTAGTTTCATTATTCACTCGCGATTTTGAATAAAAGCTCTTCGTTAAAATTTTATCAATTT